GAACTAAAGTCATAAAGAGGGCCTGCATTTCTCATCTCTGTAGTAAAGTATGGGGACTCGACTAGGCCAAAATATACATGGTAGTTTTTTGAACAAGGGACTGAAAGAAATAAGAGTAATAGTTCTTGAATATACTCCTGACCTGAAGAAGAAGGGAGAATAGATGGCACTTTCTAAAGAAGCAAAACTATATAATTCACAAAAGTTAACAGAAGGGAAATATGTGCACCCATGTACCGATAAGGTTTTCTTCACCTCCATATACAGAGTTGAATACAATGGAGTGACTAGATTAATGCCATAATAGAGGAAAGGCTTTGTTCTATGCAGAATCAATCCAAACCAGTTCTTTATGTTCTTGTAGCAGAAGAAAAAAGAGACTGGAGGTGCGTTCAGACACGTCCAATGTCACATTGCCAAGCTAGCTATGACATTAAAAGTGTCTTTGTATTTAGCTTACAGTTTTTAAAAATGCAAATACCATCCACCTGGGAGGATGTTATTTATCAGCTTTCTTCCCTGAGGAACAATCTCAATAGTTATCAGCCCCTTATTTGCATTTAAAATAGGACTGCTATATACATTTTTAAATATGCACATTAAATGCAAAAATGCATTAAAGATCACATTTAACTTGGCCCTTAAAGGACAGTATGATTCCACTATAGAAAACCAGCTATGCAAAAACAAGAGATGTAATTTCAACCATGCAGTAGAGGACTATTTAAGTTCTATTTTAGCACCAAATGTGGTCAGTTACCAGTATTTTAGACAGAAGTTAATTTACTGGCACCAACCAGAGAAAAGTTATCCCCACCAAGTTTTACAAAAATAAGCGGAGAGCAGGAAAATATAGCATTCCTCAAATAATTATCATTAATTTCAGCAAAACCTTTTAGCTTGGACATGGAAGTAAGTCTATCTGAATCCAGTGAGAGTTTATTGGGAATAAAAATGCACAGGATTGCACCATTGAACATGTGAAGAAGAGCTTCGGTTGCTAATTGTGATATCCTCAAAACAGCTTTATTTTTCCAGTGTTGACATATAAAACACTCCAGTCTAAAATGAGACTGGAGATTACCAGTTTTCTCAGTGAACTTCTCATTCTCATTGCAAAATTTAACTTGCTTTGGAAAATACAACTGGAACAAAACAGAATACAGGTAGTCCTCGACTTACAACAGTTCATTTAATGACCATTCAAAGTTACAACAGCACTGAAAAAAGTGACATAACCATTTTTCACAGTTAAGATCTTTGGGGCATCCCCATGGTCATGTGATCAAAATTCAGATGTTTGGCAACTGGTTCATAGATATGATGGTATCTGTGTCCCAAGGTCACATGATCACGTTTTGTGAGCTTCTGATAAGCAAAGTCAATGGGGAAGCCTAATTCACTTAACAACCAGGTTACTGACTACAGTGAGACATTTGTTAAGTGAGTTTTGCCCGATTTTATGAACTGTGGCAAGAAAGTTCATAAAATTGGACAAAACTCACTTAAGAAGTATCTCATTTAACAATAGAAATTTGGGGCTCAATTGCGTCTGTAAGTCGAGGACTTCCTGTAGTACAGACCATCTACAAAGAATGTGAACTACAGTAATATTTTTTACTTCATAAAGGTAAAGGTTCCCCTCGTACATACGTGCTAGTTGTTTACAGATCCAGGGGGCGGTGGTGCTCATCTCCGTTACAAAGCCAAAGAGCCAGCGCTGTCCAAAGATGTCGCCGTGGTCTTGTGGCCAGCATTGACTAAACACCGAAGGCACACAGAACACTGTTACCTTCCCATCAAAGTGATTCCTATTTTTCTACTTGCATTTTTACATGCTTTCGAACAGCTAGGTTGGCAGAAGCTGGGACAAGTAACGGCCGCTCACTCTGTTACGTGGTGCTAGGGATTCGAACCACCGACCTTTCTGACTGACAAGCTCAGCATCTTAGCCACTGAGCCACCGTGTCCCTTTTTACTTCATAACCCTGGGGAAAAAAGAAGCAGTAGGTAATGTCAAATGTTGCTGAAGACTAGAAGAGCCACTCTTTACTATTAGATATAAATCATGGTCACCCTTTTTATTATTACTGGCGAATTTTTAAGGCCCATACTCAGAATATAATAATGTTGGAAGAATATTCACCCAATATCTGAAGGTTTCTGAAGGATAAAAAGTGCTTAACCTTTTACACAAATTCTACACCTATCCAGATGGGCCAACATATTTATCCCTGCCCATTCTGCAGATGCCCTTAGATTATAAAGAGAATCTATAGCCTATGGCTATAGAAGTTTCAGATTAGAAATCAGACTGAATTGGAGCTAAGTAGTAATTTTTCCCAAACTTAACTGAGGGGATTGAGAAGCTAATAGACTTGGCAGATAAATTCCTGACTGGACTACTGCAACCCACTCTACGTGGGGCTACCCTTGAAAAGTATGGAAGCTTCAAAAGGTGCAGAGTGCAACCACACAAGCAATCTTGGGTGCCCAAAGAAAAACACGTATAACAGCCTTGCTCTACGAATCTCACTGGGTGCCAGTTTGCTTCCAGGCCCAATTAAAGCTGTTGACCCTCACATATAAAGCCCTACGTGGCATGGGGCCAGGCTGCCTACAGAACTAGCTTTGCCCCATCACATCAGCCTGTCCCACCAGATCAGGCAGGGAAGGTATGTTGCAGACCCCAATAGCCAAAGAATTCCAACTGGTGGTGTCTGGGAAGAGAGCCTTCGCACTATGGACTATCCTCCCCTCAGAGGTGAGTTGCATCCCCCTCACCTGGCCTTCCCAAAAGGGGTCAGAACGTGGCTTTGTGGGCTTGCATGGGAGGCACAAGGGGCTATGAGCCAAATAATAAGTATACCTCCCTCTGCCTTAATTAACCAATTTTATCAGAGTTAAATTGTCCTCAAGAATGTTTTGTTTGATTTTTTTAAATTTAATAATTTTTAAAGTTTTTAAATCCTAAATTAACTTTGATATTTTAACTTTAATTTTATATACCACTGTTTCTCAACTTATCTACTTTAAGATGCATGGACTTCAACTCCCAGAATTTTCCCACCAGCATAGCTGGCTGAGGAATTCTGGGAGCTGATATCCACTGTTCCTAAAGTGACTGAGGTTGAGAAACACTGGCATATACTGTTTTATATGCTGATACCATACTGTGCACTGCCCAGAGTCCTTCGTTGAGGGAGATGGGCAGTCTAGAAATGCAAAATATAAATAAATAAATGAATTTTAAAAAAGAGTTTTGCTGTGGGTGGTACTGAGTCAATAAAGCGGCACATCTGTTTTGCAGGCTTGCTCAACTGCTTCATAAACTTCTTCTGTTTATTTTCATTTTATTCAGGGCCTCTTTAGAAGACATCACTATCTCTACCCTTTTTTAAAAGGAAAAGGAAAATTTAAGTTTGGTTGACATATCTACATTCAAAAACAGGTCTCATTTTATTGATTCTTACAATTGAACCTGATGGGACAGATCAGTTACTAGCAGGTAGTACTTCCATTTTATTTACGTACTTCACGATCCCCAGGAGCATTACAGAAAACTAAAGTGTGAACAAGAAAAAACACTAGCTTCTGTTTCTGAGAGCAGCTCAAAACATGGGACACACTATGCTGGTGGAAGACAAAAAGGAACCACAACAGAACGTAGATAGATGGCTGTGAAAAATGTTTGTTCCAGATTAGATTAAATTATATTAATATTACTTGTTTTTTGGCTTAAAAACCCTGTTTTTAACCTGACAGGTTGAGAATGGTAGTATTTGGAGGTTTTATGTCTATTGAGGTTTTCCTTGTAAATTTCCCAGATTTGTTTAAAAAAGCCGAGTATAAATGCTCTAAAAATGCAGTAAAAATAATAATTCTGTCTTGGACCTTATTACAACCATACTTTTCAAATTGGTCACACGAAATAATGGAAGATGCTAGCAACAGATTCCCGGATTTAGGTATATGAGATATTTCACAATCCAAACTCGCTTAGAGGGATGAAATGGTGGGAAATCAGAATTTTACTTACAGTACCAATACTGTACGATAATCCCCTTTGTGGTCACAATGGGTTTTCTATCACCTGAGTTCACATTTAAAATCCATTTAAAATTGCTATGTGTGAACTAACAGCTGGCTTTATTGATATTTTGTGGACTTCCACAAATGCTTCCACTGAAGGGAAACTTTTGACTAAATTGATGTATATGTTTCTGCAGGTGGTAGCAACTGATCAGTCTTATCCAAACATGGAAGCTAATCAAAGTTAGGGCAAGTTAGTCTCAGATGAGAAATTATCAGCCCAAAAGTTCAAATTTTGCAAAGCAAGACAGTTGTAAAGCTTTAAAAAATCCCCAGAAGGTGGCCTTGGAAAATGTTTTTTTACCATGAAAACTACATTAATATGTATGTGCATTGATTAAATCTTCAATTCAGAATGTCTGCTAAAGTATATTTATTCTATGTAGAAAATAAAAATGTTAAGAGCTACAAAATCTCTAGTAAATATCCTTTAAATATCCTTGATCTAGTTATTAAATAATGAACAAACAAAATGAGAAATAATTCTTAAGATTGTGCTGTTTCTCTCTCTGAGGCCAGAACTATAAGGAAATATACAATACAAAAGACAAGGACCTTAATTAATTGTCACTCTTCCATTCCGCTTACTTTGGATGAATCCATTATGAAACCAGAAGAAATTATGATTGAGTGAGGTTGACAAAATTTCATTGTTAAGAATTTATTTTATTCATTCTTGTATACAATAAATTAATAAATAAACCTCTATCTAAACAAGTAGTGTTATGTGACATCATAGCAATTGTGTTTTTCTCTTCAGTAAACATGTTACCCTACTTTCTTCTGTTGTAGCATTGCTCAATATCTATTTATTCTTGCATATGTTGAAGGTAGGTCGAAATTATTAGTAAAAATCAAAGACCCATACTTTTTAATCCTATCAATTAATACTACATATCTGTCTTCAGGCTTTTAATTCCAGGATCTGAGAACTAGAAGAACAAGAGGAAGGGGGGGGGAGGAAGACAACTACAAGCATGCCACGATTTTTCTAAGCAACTGTAATTATTTATATTAATACTTTCCTTCATATTTATAGGTAATTTCCCCATACATTAGCTAATGGTGCCATCTTATGGTTGCTTCCTACCAGTGTTTTTTATCTTTTAAAGGTTTCAAAGGTATCTTCTTAGTGACTTTAAAGATTTATATAAAGAAGTTAGACAGAACCATAATAAAGGCATTATAAGAATATTTAAGGTGACTTGGAATCAACTGTGTGTTAAAAATGTACATGACCTCCTTGACTATATCCCAGTACTTGTAGTCTATTAGGAACCATAGGGCTTTGCCATCGTTGTTTCACTTGGAGGGAAGTGGGTTGGTTAAAATAATTACAATATTTGAAGGGGAAATCCATACCTGATTCACAGTAATGGATTGTTGATGTAAGTTATCTGAAAAAAATGGGGCAGTGGTGACGTCCTTTCCTTTCAGGCAAAGATTTCCAAAGTTCTGTTTATAAAATTTTCACAGTATAAGGCGGGAGTGGAAACCTGAAAGTTATGTTTTTTTCAGTTATGGCTCAGCTATACAGGTAGTCCTCAACTTAAAACCATAGTTGAGCCCAAAATTTCCTTTGCAAAGCTAGGACAGTTGTTAAATGTAATTTGCCCTATTTTACGAATCGCAGCAATTGGTAAGTAGGTAACACAGTTGTTAAGTGAATCTGGCATTCCCATTGACTTTGCTTGTCGGAGGGTCACAAAAGGTGATCGCTTTTGTCACCGGGACACTGCAACCGTCATAAATATGAACCAGTTGCCATGCATCTGAATTTTGATCACATAACCGTGGGGATGTGGGGATGCAGCAATGGTCATAAGTGTGAAAAATGGTCATAAGTCACTTTTTTCACTGTCGATGTAATTTAAAATGGTCACTAAATGAATGGTTGTAAATCAAGGACTATCTGTAATAGAATAGTCTCCCTTTAGACATCAGATTAACCTAACCATGGTGACATCCTCAGAAGCAGTGAACACTTCCCAGAAGCTTTAGAGAGCAAAATATAATTTGGATGTAGCAGTATAACGACATCGGTTTTTATTGTTCATTTTATTTATTTGTTTGTTTGCCTGTCTGTCTGTTTATTTATCAAATTTATTTATCAGATTTATTGGCCGCCAATCTTACCACAGGATAAAACAGAGTATTACAACACAGTATTAGTTCTTTTATTATGTGGTATTTACTGTGGATACTTCATTGTATACATATTAAGGATATAAAAACATCATATTAAGGATGTTTTATTGTTTATATTATGGGTTTATCTTATTGTGTGTTTCTTCACCAGAATGGGCCAGCCACTATTTTTGGAGGGCAAGAATGGGAAAAAGCTTCACTCCTCCAGGACTGTTTTCCTGCTGTGGCTTCAAAGTATTTCTTCCCCCTCTTTATGTTACCTTGACTGCTTTTGTGAGTTTTAACTGTTCCACTTTATAGATAGTCCTCACTTAACGTCCATTTGTTCATTGACCATTGAAGATTACAACAGTGCTAAGCAAATGGTAGTTAAGACTGACCATTAGTTACAGCCATTACAGCACAGTTACATGATCAAAATTCTGGCACTTGGCAGCCTGCTTACCTTTATGACCACAGAGTGTGTTTCAACCCCGCTCCTCCATTTCAGTCCTCCATCTCTGTCCAAGTGGCCACCTTGCACTCTCTCTTGTACCTCTGCTGCCCCTGCTAGTCCCCTCTGCTCTTCACTGCTTTCTTGCATAAAGTATAACCAGTGAGGCACTTTCTGGCACTCTTACCAGCAATGGGAAAAAGAAGATGACAAAGGGGCATCCATGGGTCATCAGGGATAAGCAGTAGACGCCTCACACAGGGCCAGCAGCTGCCTCAGCAAATGCACCATGACAACAGTAGGGGGAAGATATGTTAAAAGCAGCTGAGGGTAGTGAGGCAGTGGGGTAGATGTGTCAAAGTGTAGGGCAGCTGAGAGGCCAAAGATGGTGGAGATAGGCATTTATATCAGCTCACCCTTGATAGAGAGGGCATGTTGCAAGTCCCACCAGTTAGAGACTTGCATTTGGTGGTTCCCAAGAGATGTGGCCTTTCTGCAGTGGAATCCACCTTATCCTTCCTCTCAAAATTAGATCAGCTCCATCCCTTTTGATATTCCAAGAGGCCCTCAAGATCTGGTTGTGCTATCAGATGTGGGTCTCCCACAGTCTTGGAATCTTGATGAGATGCCTTGTTGTTGAGGTGGCCATTTTTATCCCTCTCATCACCTATGGCTTGTATTTTTGGGGTTTTTTATGTTCTTTATTAACATGGATTTTTACATTTTATATTTAGGGCTTTTTAAATAGTGGTCTTAAGTCATTGTTGTATATTACCCAGATTCACCTTTGATGAGATGGGCATCTATATAATTCTGATTAATAACAAATAAATAATAAATCCATACTAAATGCATTCCCTGAATCTATGGAAAACCCACATGTAGATCATCATTGTGTGTTTCATGAAAAAATACTAAAGTTTCAAAATAACCAAGTTCCTACAAACTATGGACAGGACTTCCCAAACCTTCTGTGGTCATGGCCCACTAAAAGAATGTTCAGTGAAATGGGAACACAGACTTAATCACCACACACATTTTCATCTTTCAGAGCACAGGAATTCACAGCTGGGGGAGGGGGGAGATAAGATTATTACTGTATAGTTGCATCTGCAAATGTCTTCCCATTTTCTTTATTTTTAAAGGCTTTTTAAAAGTAAAATTTGCACCTAACTAATATTCAACATTAGGTGAATTATTTTAGGTACCCTGTGCCAGGTGGACTCACAGATGGTAAATACATTTGAATATTGTTCACTGTTTCGGTTTTCTGAGCAGTAGTGTTTACTTTCCTATTCATATTTTAACTAGTGTGCTTCAGTGGACCAGTTTTCAACCACAGATGCAATTTCACATAGTAAATTCAGGAGGAATCAAGTTAGTCATGCTTGTGACAGCTAATGGAGACCTCAGAGAACCCTGCAGACTACCAATGGTTCATGGAGATACAAGGGCTGAATAAAAACTAATAGCTCCGCCTCCATGGCTTTAATTTAATACAGATATTTTAATAAATATCAAAATAACGCCAACATAATCTTTGAAATGAGAACATTCATTACCTGATATCATTGACTTATGACCACAATTGGAACCAGAACTTCTGTTACTAATCAAGGCAGTTGTTAAGTGAGTCACAACCAATTTTACAATCTTTTTTTGCCAAGAATTTTAAACAAATCGCACCAGGTGTCTAGTGAATCACATGATTAAGATTGTAAATGGCAATCACATGACCCTACATGCCGCAACCGTCATAAACACATGCCAGTTTCCAAACATCCAAATTTTGGTCATCTGACCATGGGGATGTTGCAAAGGTGGTAAGTGCATGGACCGGTCATAACTCACTTTTTTCAGTGCTGTTGCAACTTTGAATACATTTCTAAATCGAGGATTACTATACTTGCTTTTCCACATAATGATCACAATTCATTACACATTTTTCCTATAATGGACAAACGTCTTGAAGCTCTGACAAAAGAACTTCAAACTTTGTCTCTACCAGTCTTTTCCATTTCTTCATTTGAGTCAAACAAATGACCATGAAGGCATTCTTTCAGTTTAGAGGGAAAAGGGAAGTCACATACCACATGTACGGTAAGACAATTAGATCCAACTTTGCAGTTGCTTCTTAGATGATTGATGAAGTGTGAAGTCTAATATTGTTCTGTAGCATCAAAGTTTTCTTCTTGTACTTCCAATCTCTCCTCAATCATATTTATGCCAAAGTTTTGAGTATCCCAGTGTGGTCCTCTGAGTTGATAGTGGTGCCACATTGAAGAAAATTCATAAGAATAATACCATCAATGTCCCAAAAAACTTGTCACCATGACTTTGCCTACCAAAGCCTGCTTTTTGAATATGCCTTGATGATATTCAGTGGAGTGATGCATAATAATGAGCTTATGTTTGGTCAGTAATCATGATACAACAAATTCCTTACCCTCATTTTTGTCGCTTAACAACCATTCTTGAAGCTTTCATTTCTGCCGTTATGCAGGAAACCGATCATGCACAAACCTTCCATTATTGAAGAACATCAATAACATGATTCACTCATTTTTCTGAAATGCCAAGCTGACAGCAATTTCTCTCTGAGTGATCCACCAATTGTGTTCATTGGTTTATCAAGCTTTCTCGTGTGAAACCTTTTGACTGTCACAAGTTGTCCATTTCATTCTTGGACACAGAAATAAACTATCCTGGTTCACCATATTTAGATTTTTTTGGCCCAGCAGCACACAGTACAAATGTCAACAAAACTGTCACTATAAACTACCTGCTTTTGTCTATGAATTTAAATGGAAAGGATTCCTGTACTCAAAAATGCACGCACTTTGCCTAAAGTGCATTGATGAATATTTACTGAAGGCTTCCATTTTATGAAAAAGAGCCACATAATGTTTTCTGACAGCAAGATCTCACCAACTGAAGTGAAGGATGCGAAAGAACACATGTGAATTCTAATGTGTCAGTACTGCCATCTGTAGGTGATTTACAACATTGGAAGTATTCCTTGTCATTCAATGCTCATAGTTTGAGAATCACTGTTTTAACTAAATGCAAGGCAGGACAATCTTAACCCCTAGCCCTAAGGTTAGGTTGGTGAATAATTAAAACAAATAGTTTAGAATAAGTAACCATGAGCATCTACATTCTTGCTTAAGAGTAGAGCTCTTATCTGATGAATATACAATATGTTTTACAGCACTCTGGAGAGTCATGAGGCAGTAAACCAACCACTCCACTTGATGTTCTTTATATGAATTTGGACTAGAATTCACAGGATTCCCCAGCTGATTTGACCAGCGAGCTAGTAAATCTTAAGCCTATAGCCCAATACATTAGGGAAAAGGGGGAAGTCACATACCACATGTATGGTAGATGTGGTAAGACAGGAAGATCCAACTTTGGTGCCACATTAGGAGAAGCTAATCAACAATAACAAAAAATAATGCTTAATTTATTGCTCATGTTGATCTTACCAACATGTACTATATGTAACAAAACATCATTGGTTTCGGATGAGTGCCTATACAAATCAAATAAATGAACAGATAAGTTGTTTAATAACTGTACTGAAATAAATCTCAAAATAATCTTGGCAATAATATTCATACTTGCTGAAGGAGGTCAGCCTCATCAAAAATGCTTGGGTGACATTGCCTGGAGAAAATGCCTTACACCAGGGGTGTCAAACTCAAGGGGCTGGTTGCGGCCCATGGAGTGCTTAGATCTGGCCCGCAAGTCTGCCCTGGACACAGTGAAGGATCAGCAAAAATGGACAGCCCTCTCAGGCAGCCCTCCCAAGCTCCATTTTCATTGGCAGAGGGTTGCAGGAGGCTGTTGCAGCCGAAAATGGAGCTCGGGAGCCCGTTCTCACTGGCAGAGAGCTCAGGCCACCAGGGGCCGGCATGAGTGATGTTGAGCTGTCCATGTCCACCCTGCCTATCCTGAGGACAAACACAACCCTGATGCAGCCCTCAATGAAATCAAGTTTGACACCCCTGCCTTACACACATCTGGAGTTGCATATAGGCGAATACTGATGTAATTATTCTATAGAATAAATAGGAGAAACAATCAATTGCATTGCTAGAACTGGATTTTCTTTTAATAACAAATTCATAGCCACCAATATCTCCTACTCCACATTATGCTTTTCAAACAATAATGTCATACAGGCATAATCCTAGGTGTCAAGCTGCAGCGTGGAAGTGCCCTATTTTCTTTCCCAACATCCAAGTTCAAAATGAAGTTGGGGAGGAAATAGCTTTTACTGGCAGACACACACAGATCCTCCAGCCAGAAGCCTACGGAGATAATGTGGCTTCTCTCCACCTCTCAGTAAATAGCCAGTAATTAATTACAGAACAACAATGAATGCCAAGAACCTCAGTTCCCTAGAGTAAGTTTAAATGAAATCCAGTTTCACCCAATAGCCAAATGGGAACTATCAACAGAAAAATGAACAAAATCCATAGTGTATTTTCAGACATGTCATCACACCAAATAGCAGAAAAAGATGATTTGAATTCTGATTTCGGTTTTGCAGTATAGTCTAAATACACAAGGTTTCAATACAAATACCTCATTGTTTCTATGAAATCTTTTTTTTTTTAGTATTGCAGTTCCTAAATACAATGAAGATAAAAAGAATTGTGTAATATTTACCTGTTTGGAGGCAATAACATTCCATGCTGGCTTGACGCCAGTAATCCTATATCCAGTGTGACAATTCTCCTTTTAAATGACAAGATACGAATTCCTAAAGGAAAGCTCATAATTGTTCTCCATCGATCCTTGTTTCTTAGTTCTATTTTTATTTTATAGAAAAATGGCTTTGTAAAGCAACATAGTTTCTGTACTCTGCACATGCTCTGCATGGAGTCACCTGGAAGGGACCTTGGAGGTCCTCCAATCCAACCCCCCCTTCTCAAGCAGGAGACCCTATTCATGGGTGTCAAACTTGCGGCGTCACGTTGCTGTCTTGTGACATTTTGAGACATTTTTTCCCTTTGTGGAGCTGGGGTAGGCGTGGCCTATACATGATGCATCCAGCCCGTGGGTCAACAATTTGACACCCCTGTAGCCTATACCATTCCAGACCAATGGCTATCCCCCTCCAGCGATGGAGCACCCACAACTTCCGAAGGTAAGCCATTCCACTGGTCAATTGCTCCATTTATTAATGAATAAATTAATAATTTATTAAGCAGTTGATAAATAAGCAATTGATTGTTCTACTGATTAATTGAAAGGAATTTGTTTCACTGTCTTAGAGAGAAATATGCGAGACCAAAGTAATCACTGACAAATTCCTCAAACGCAGCATTGATATATGATTTTGCTATTTGGCGAACTGCCAACAGGTCCACTTGAATCTTGGGTGGCAGGAACAGAGAGTTCACCCACATCAAGTACAGGACAGATGCTCGTGCTTTGTAACTTTCTATTCTCATATGTTGAAGCGTGTCTGTTCTGTTAAGCCTCTTCTAGCTCAGCCAGAAGCTATTCAAAAACCTGCTATTTTCAGCTGTCCTCAAATGACTTACTGGTGTGGACTCTTCTTGTCAGCAGCTTGATTAGAGGTCCCAGCAGTTGCTGATTTCACTGATATGGGTATAATTATTGTTTTGAAAATGGAGAGCTCCAAGCACCATTGGGGTTGGGGTTTTTTTTTCCAGTTGCTATTTT